CAGTGTGGAAAGTTTAAAATTATACATGAAAATAAGTGCAATTCGGTTGATTTTTCTTTTTCACTATCACGAACTGACTCCTACAATGCGACTGCTACAGTTGTTGAAAATGTTAGAGGAAAAAAACAAAACTCTTGGGCGAATTCGAGGACTGTAAACACTACAGCCAATTCCACCAGACCCGAGTTTCGCCAGTAGTAATGCTTCCCATCGGGAATGACAAATCGAATGACAGAAGAGCTTATGGCTTGTACAATATATCAACAAATAGGGGTGCTGTCAGATAGCGTAATATTTGCAGTTCGCTGATGTTGGGTGGATTGCTGGAGACGCTTGATGGAGTCAAATCTACTATCGTCGAAGGCAACAAAACAAAGTAAAAACACTGGCCTTCACGTATTCGTTCGCTCTTTTCATGGCTTCCCAGATGGTCTAATTTAGCTTAAAGCACTTCTTAGATTTCCGTCAGTGAATTCTTTCTCGCACCTTTGGAAAGCCGTTGTGGCGACGTAGTTTGTGTACGTGCGCGCCTGTCCTCATAATTCGAGAATTTTGGAAGCTTTGAAAAGCTTCTTTTCAGAATCACAGTTGTAACTGCATGAATAATTGAAGGTATCTCAATCTCCGCATGTGAATTTAGATAAGCCTACTCGATAGCTGAAAATCTTTAGCTCACATATGCACAAAGAATATCCCTGCAGAGTTTCAGCTTTCTATCTTGTCTGACTCGGGGAATCGTTTCCTGCCAAAGAAATTTACATATTTTTTTCGGCATTCCTACGCGAGATCTAGGCATGTATGAGCAAAGATCTTAAAACGGAAAGGTGACACACGGAGTAGGAACAAATACCCAAAATTTCAGCCTCCCAACTTTCCTGGCTGCTGAGATGAAAGTGGGTGACAAAGTTCACTTGCTGCCGAAGACACACACAGACGATTTCTCGACGATATGCGTTTTTGCTGGCTGTAATAGCGCTATAGATCACAACCAGGAAAGTTGGGAGACTGAAATTTTGGGGTCATATTCCCACCCCATCTGCCACCCTCCCGTTCCAAAATCTTCGCTCATAGGTGCCTAGATCTCGCGTACGAACGCCGGAAAAAATATGTAAATTTTTTTTGGCGGGAAACGACTTCCCAAGCCAGACAAGATAGAAAGCTGAAACTTTGCAGAAATATTTTCTGTGCATACGATGGCTAAAAATTTCAAATTCAGCTACTGCGTAGGCCCATAACGCGCAAATTTTGATAGATAATTTATCATTCATATGGGAAATCATATACTCAAACTGAGCTTCGATTTGTACTAGCGCTACGACTCAGGCACTTCAAAAATACTTGTAGCGAATTGGCTATTTCGCTTGCCGGAAAAGCTTCGAAGCTGAAACTGTGCAAGAATATTCTACATTCTACACACGTATGGTCTTAATTCAGTTTGGAGATGGAATTCCTTGCACACAGACGTGATATTTAATTTTATCGCAAACCTAAAACCGAGTCCAAACCTAAAACTGATAATCATGCACGCTGGAGACCCATACGGACTCATAATGCAACATATTCATCCCAAACAACGTCCTTCCTCCTTGCATGCAGGAAGAGGTCAAAACACAGCCAATATAAATCCAAGTGTTAAACTACAACGTAGGGATCACTCCTGCTCTTAGCGATCTGCAAGTTTAGCCGAAAATGCATAAAAATTTTAATTTTTTGAACGGGATTTTGAATAATTTGCGATTTGGAGCATTTGGAATTCACAGCACTAATCTGAGAAATGATTGAATTAGCAAAAGTAAATGTGCAGGTGAACGAAGCTACACTGGTAAACTCTGAGATAAAGCTTGCGATCATTAAGTTATGTACTAAGCAAAACAACTTTTTTTGCACTTTTCACCTATAAAGCAACCCATACTCATTAATGTAAACGAATAAAGCACAAAATTTTTGCAGCGTTGTAAGAATCCGTAGCTGCCACGAGATCCGACTGTTTATTTATATTGACATATCTGATATCACAATCATATCCGTGTCATACAACTGCTGCATTCCGGAGTCCCTTTTATAAGTCGGTCTCCGCCTCTTTTCCTTTATCATGAACAATACAAACATGAAGCAATTGAAGCGGAGGAGTTTTCTTATAATCCACACATTTTAAATAATAAAATGAATTGTCTGAAGCAACTTGCTGTGTCAAGGATGAGTGTTAAAAAAGTAGTCTGCAGTGACTATGTATACATTTCTTTGTGAAATTTTGCCGATTTTTCGTCCCAATACGGCTTTTCCTTCCAGCATTTGCTTCTGTACCTCTGCTTCACTTCCACTTTACTGTGAAATTTACTGAATGTATAAAAGCGACAGAAAGAGCGATCGAACGAGGAGCGCTAGTCCTACCTCTCCGCAGACATACAAATAAATGGTCAGCGCACCGACTGCCGGTGCGAAAATGCAGTTTTTGCATAGTTCGCTGCAGGTTTTTGTTGTTAATGGCACCGGTTTTTTTGGCAGATACTTTTAGCTAAAAGAACTGAGACAGGCCGCCAGAACTGCCAGGAAACACTCCTTTAAAGTTTAGCTTTCTAGCTTTTCTGGTTCTCGACTTAGGAACTTACCCGCAAAAAACTTTCATGAGCCCGCACGTGGGAACCACGCATATCTAGAGGCTGGATTGGAACTCATTAACACTTACGTGGACGGGAAACATTTCCTTAAAATCACAGTCTTCTAGCTTTTCAGATTCCCGAGTTAGCAACTTACGCGTAAAAAACTTTCACAGGCCCGTACGCGTGTACCACGCATGCCCGGGGGTTGGGTTGGAACTCACTAAAACCTACGTGGAAGGGGAACTTTTCCTTAAAATTACAGTCTTCTAGCTTTTCAGGTTTCCGAGTTAGTAGCTTGCCCGCAAAAAACTTTCACGGGCAAGTACGTAGGTACTGCGCGGGTAAGAGCGCCCATTTTGGATATGGTTAAGTTCCCAAAGTTTCAACCCTGTAGATTTTGTAGGTCTCGAAATGAAAAATCGGTATAGACGAACACACATACACACACACACACACACAGAGATAACCCCTCACCCCCTCCCTCGTTAACATGCATTTTCTGCATTGTACAAATGCAAAAAACGCTTAACAGCCGGACTCTCCGTCCGATGAGCGGCGTGCGAGACAATACTGCGACCACGCAAGAAAATAAGATCCGATGGGCAGAACATGTTGCTCGTCCTGCCTACAACCGGTGCACAATGCGCATTAGTGAGTGCTATCCACGAGAAAGTAAGCGACCCTCCGGCAACTCTTGAAGAGGTGGTGCAATACA